CCAAGTCTAGTCTTTTTGGGTGTTCACATTTTTAGAATCACAGAATCATACACTCATTTAGCTTGAAAAGACCTCCAAGATCATTGAATCCAAACTTTGATCCATCACCACTTTGTCAGTTAGATCATAGAACTAAGGGCCATGAACACCTCCACAGATGGTGACTCCACCATCTCTCTGGGCAGTTAACAACCCTTTCAGTGAAGAAATTTTTCTTGATGTCCAACCTCCACCTCCCATGGCACGATTTGAGGCTAAGTCCACTTCTCCTGTCACTAGTTGCCTAGGAGAAGAGGCCGACACCCACCTTTCTCCAACCTCCTTTCAGGTAGTAGTAGAGTGATAAGGTCCCTCCTGAGCCTTCTCGTCTCCAGGCTAAACAACTCCAACTCCCTCAGCTGTTCCTCTAGACCCTTCATCAGCTTCATCGCCCTTCTCTGGATAAGTTCTAGCACCTCAATGTCTTTCTTGTAGTGAGTGGCCCAAAAAGGGAACATGGGATTCAAGGTGCAGCCTCACCAGTGCCAAGTACAGAGGGATAATGATCCTTTACCTGGTCCTGCTGGACATGCTATTTTTTATATAATACTTTATATTATGTCTATATTTTGGCATACTACAAAATATCTCCAGAGAAACTTAGGCAGGAAAAGGTAATTTTAAAAATCAGTTATAACTCAACTTGAAAAAATGAAGCAAAGAAAAGTATCTCTTTACTCTGGTAGCTTTCTTCTTAGGGGTCTACTCTATACAATGGAAGTAGATATTTCTGTGGCACAGATATATACTATATACGTCCTTGCCAAATTAGTACTTACTACGCTCCTTGAGACAGGAGTTTGACAACTGTTAGACAAATTTGAATTTTTTAAAAATTGTTACAAAGGTGTTATCCTTGTTTTTTCTATTTCTCCATGCTGCTTATAAAAAAAAAAAACAAAAACAGAACAATAAAACCCCACAAAACAACCCCCCCACGCCAAAAGAAAACACACCAAAAATACCCAAACAATGACAAAAGACTCCAGGCTTGAGAAAAATGTGCCACATTTCAGTTTAAAGGTAAAATAATAGTGGTGTTTAACAGAATTGATAGTAGTGACTCCTCGTTAACGGTTTCTCGGAGAGGGTCTCAGTGGTGCGGTCCCCCTTCTGTGGGAGGAAAGAGCCACCAACTCTCTTCTCTGCATTCCAGGGTGAAAAGTGGTTTACTTGAAACTCCTGTGGGCTTTTAAGGTCTCCAGGGGAGGGCTTAGAAGGAGGAACGTGATTGGGCCAAGGTCCAGGGGAAAGGGAGTGACTTGAGGGCTCTGCTAACCAATGGGGGACACAGGAGGACCAAGGTCCAATAACAAGCCAGAGATTGAGGAGAAGCGGATGAGACAGCCTACCATGCTTGTGCAGAGGCGGGGACTGGTTCGGGGAGGAGAGACAACATGGCACCACGTGAGGGACCACGTGGATCGGGGGATTGCACAGTCCAGGGAAAAAATGTACAATAAAAACACAAATCATTGCTGTTTCTCCACTCTGCTTGATCCTGGAGAGCTGCCACTGTGACAGATCCACTTCTAAAGTCATTCTTTCCAGGATTCATAATCTTTGCATTCCCTCAAAGGTGTTAATAAAAATTTTAAAAAGTTTCTTTAGAGAAGGGTACAAATTAAATTAAGAATAAATATGATTTGGTATTCTTTATCGGTAATGCAGTTATTTACTATAAACAGGATTCATTTGGAGTCACTTTGATTTGTGCTACCTCGCTTCTACAGAAAAGATAGAAGTGATCGCTTAAAAGCAGACGTTGCATTTAAGAAACTAAGCCATCAATAACACTGGTCTTAGAGCCCAGAACCCAGTACTGTATTAGGCACTGAATAAAATTCTAGGGAAAAGTCAGTAGCTGGAAGAATTTCCAACTGGTGCTGAAATGCCACACTCTTGTGCAGAAGGGAACAGATGTGACATGCAGCCAGAGTGTGGGAGAATCACAGGAAAACAGAGCAGCTGATCTGGGAAAGCACCTCTGGAGATCGTTAGTCCAACCCCTGCTGCAGGCAGGATTGCCAACAGCAGGTTCACCCAAGACCATGTCCAGTCACACTTTCGAGATCTCCATATTCTCTACCTGATTCTAGTGTTTGACAACCCTCACAGTAAAAAAACGGGGGGTTTTCTTATATTCAAATAGTGTATCTTGTACTTCAACTTGTGCCTGAAGAGCAGCCTACAGATCTGCTTTAGCAACTTTGTTCTTTTTTCTAACTTGGTGGGGGAAGGAAGTGGGATTTTGTTGGCAGGCAGTTCACTAAATTCACAAAAATACCAAAAGGAGGATAGTACTGTCATGAAGTTTATTTAAAAGATCTAAAGTTGAATAATATATCAGTGAGAGAGATCGTTCTTTATGACTTCAACTGAAAGCTGGAGAGTGGCTTCTATGTTTATAGTAGCTCAGATGGGTCTCCTTCCCTTCTCTATCCATTCCCAAGAGGAAAGCAGGAGATTGCAATGATCATGATACCTGTAGGAAAGAAAAGGAGAAATCAGCTTTGCATAGTCTTGGTATTAGACAAGGAAGTGGAACTAAATGGACTCTATTATTTCCTGGGAGGTTATTTACCTGAATTTTTTGAGGGCTGGCCTTGTGGGAAGATCCAGAGGAGGGAGTATGCCTTCTATAAATTACAAGTGTACCTGCTTAAGCAGCTGAGGGCAAACTCTGTAGCGGGCTCTCACACCTGATCATTTCATTAGCCATCTATCATTTCACAATCTGTATTTGATTCCGTCTATATTTGCAAAGAAAATATGCCTCTCTTCTTACAAAATGCAAATGTCTCTGAATAAAGTAAAGTAGATATAGGAGAAAATTCTGAACATCAGAAAACATTTTTTTGCTGTGAGAGTGACCAATTACAGACACAGGTTGCCCAGAGAGGTGATGGACACTTCATCCTCAGAGATATTCAAAAGCCACTTGAGAATGGTCCTGAGCAATGTGCTCTAAGTGGCATGGCTTGAGCAGGGGAGGTGGACCAGATGACCTTCAGAGGTTACTTCTAACCTCAATCATTTTGTGATTCTAAATTTTTATGAAAATAGTTATAACACTGAAGGTGTTGCATTGACCCTTTTTCAAGGTCCCACACCTTACTTAGGAATGAGTTCCAGGCAAGTCTGGAATTTGCAATCAACCCTTTGAGAGAAGAAGACTCAATTCAAGCCTTAAAAATTAACACTTTGTTAGAAGCCTGTGGGCTTTTCTTTGCTGTGTTCAAAAGCCCATGATTTTAATGGGACCATGACATAAAATGGGTCCATGTTCAAGGGGCACACCGGGCCCTGTCTTGTGTCAGTCTCACCAGCAGTTTCCAGAACTTTTGTCTTACCCCAGATGCCTGCAAACACATGCTGGCTGAGGGGAGCTGATATATCTCTGGGATTTTTTTTCTCTGCACAGAAAATTGAAACTTTCTCCTCTTTAGATACTATTGTTTTAAGTCACATTTTCTGCTGCTTGGTGCATTTGCAGATCTGAGGGTTGCTTTACGAAGTCAAGGCCCACACACCATATGTGAGGCATGGCAGGAGAGAAAAGGAGGCAGTTAATGATATTTGCTGCTTTTAGAGACTGTACAGTAGAGTATCTTTAACTTCAAGGACTCCAGTTCCCTGCCTCTGTAAAACACTGCCTGGCTATGATTATGGAGAAGTGCTTTGCAGAAGAAACACAATAAATATGATAGCAAGTCAGACGGGACTCAAATAACCATAGTGGCATCAGAAAGCAGTAGAAGCTATCAAAACACTTCCAGGACTGAGGAAACCTGAAAAAAGACTTTCAAGAAATGAATTGTATGGTTGCAACCACCCACTTCCAAAGACAAATGGCATCCATTCCAAGCAGTGAGGATACCGCCATTCATTTGAACTGCCATCACTGAGTGTCAGGAGCTGAAGGTTTCCACTACCAGGTTGACCACCAGTCTGCACACAGCCCTAGAAGAAACTGATAAAGTCTGAAGAATGTCAGAACCTCTAAGATACTCCTAGTAATTAAAGTAATTTAGCACTAAAAGTAGCACTAGTAATTTAAGATGGACTTTGTTCTCCTCAATTTCTCAATGGTTTTCAATATAATAGAGGAACTGTTTAGATTGTATCCCTATAATTATTAGTAAACATATTATTTGCTATGTCTCTTATTAGAAGCAGAGACTAAATACCTCAGTCTAATTATGACTCATTTATGAATGCCTGCTTCATCGTTCTAATGAAAACATGCTCTTAGAGAGGTAATAAAATTAGCATCAGAATCTATTTGAAATGAATGGTGGATGCTCAAAGCAGTCAACACCGAAGTCAGCTAGAACACGTATGAGTATGCAAGAACTGTTATATACTGTTCTATAGATACTATTTAATTGTTACAGTTGTATTTGACGTTAAAAAGTGACTTCTTGATTTAACTGGATTTGAACTTGCAAGGCTTGTCCTCTGCTATCAAATTGCACAGATTCACAGACAGCAGAGAAGCAGTGTAGTTCAGTGCCAGATCTGGATCTCAAACCTCAGCTGGATTTCAGCTAAGTAGCACCACAAGAAACGTAACATTAAGACACAATCGCTGTGCTCAGGCACAAAGTCACTATCATGCAGACAAACTCCATTTCTCATGGCAAAACACTTACTAACCTTCTATCTGAGAAGAAAATTGCACTGTACATTTCAAAACAGTTTTTCTAAAATGCATAAAATTAGTAGTATTGGCAAAAGAATTCACATTGAATTTAACTAAGGTAATGTTGTCCAGGATTCATGACTTTGCTCATAGGAAGCAATGTTTCATTGCATATCCAAGACAGACAGCTAAGTATGAAAAAGTCCACAGAGCTGTTAAGACAGACATGCAAGTTCTGCTCTACCTATTGAGCACTGCATAGGGAGATACTGTAGTGAATGGGGGATGGACTGTGCTTACTATTGTAGAGATATGTGCTTCTGTAGTCTCTCCTAACAGATATTTGCTCCATTCTTACAGATTCGTACCCCTACAGAGTTCATTGCTCCAGTTCTCTGTGTGTTAACCAGGAATACAAGTCCATGTTTCAAAGGCAGAAAGCTCTAAAATTTTCAAGAGCCTCTTGTCAGCTGGAAGACATGGCTCAAAGGACACCAGAAAAAAAATCATCTCAGGTAAACCTAACCTTGTCAAAATCTTCGTGAAAGCATTGAAAAAATACTTATTTCACATAGACAAATGTCTATCTGAAAACAGATGCAACTTTTGATCAGCAGTCACCTAACCTATGTGAGACAGGTTTTTTTTTTTCCACAGCAGAACACTAATGATACTGGTATCATTAAAGGTTGTGTTTTGCTCAGCTTCTGAATAACCATAAACATTTAATTCTTCTGACACAATATCACTGATCTGATCAAAAAGCATATCAAAAAGGGATGGGATTTTTCTTCTGGTAGAAAACTAAGTGATGGCACCTGCTCTGCATTGCACAAAAATGCCTGCGGTTGATGCAAAACAATCCCTGTTCAATGTATGCAACCCCCAAACTATGGTTGAAGAACAGTCAGTTTGATATCCTTCTTTGAATTCCCTATAGTAAGCAATTCCATTACTCCCCAGGCATACTTGACATACATAACATAATGCTGCTTACAATTTCAACTATGGTAAGAAATACTAGCAGAATATAAACATACTTGGAACATACAAGAAAATTTTATGTTTTAAATACTCACTACAGTACAATTTTTGTCTCAGATCATAATGATTATCTCAGAGTTTACTGTGCTTGCTGAAGGTAATTTTAGTGTAGCTATCTCTGCTGAAAGAGCATGTCCTTTAAATAAAAAAAGGATAGGTTAATCTCAAAAAAGTATTTCTTATTTAATATGTTAAATACTTTTTTATATCCTGGTAGATATAATCTTATTTTCACAAGCATTTTAAAAGGTAGTGTGGTTTCTGTGTTGTAATGCTTGTCTCCCCCTGGAACAGAAGATTTGTTACAGACTACTGACCTGAAACTTAATTCACAGAAGGAAGGAGAGCATGATAACTGAATCCTACACTTTCTTAAGTGTGTGTTTTCACTTTTAGCTGCATCTTCATTTTTTGTCTTGGATTCTGAGAAGAAAAAAAATGCAATAATATTCCTTTCAAGTGACATATTTTCAGTAATTCCAAGACATAATATCAATAGTGTAATGTAGTCAGGTCATACTGTTTTCTATATACCAGTACAATGAAGGCCCTAAGGCACATCTTGGCCTTTTCCACTGTTGACTACATGAAGACTTCCAGTTTTGATTTGCCAGTTGTTAATCTTAGTTGACTAAAACCACAACCAAATTCTCCTGAGAAACAGTTAGATTGCATTACTCAGTATATTACTCATAGGTTATATGGCATTCACTTACTGCATTGAGCTGCAACTAAACATTACACTTGATATTTTTAAGGGATTTAAATTATACTGGTTGGCAGTCATGTAACTTCATCAGCTGTGACGCAGCTGCTACACACCTTTATGACCTCTTAGTACTTTATAATTTTTAATGTGTTCAGAGCTAGTCAACAGAAATGCAGTAATGTCATAATGTCATCTACAGGCCCTAAACAGTCCCTGTTTCCCTTGGTGACCCTGTCTCCCATATTCCACCAGATAACTAAAATAAAGGGCCAGAAGAAAAAGAAATCACAACAAATCCTTCCATAGGAGAGTAAAATCATAAGTAATTCAAACAAATCTCTACACCATGATTCTGCATAATGAGTTTTCTTGACATCTTTCTAGTAATCTCTGGCAGGAATAAAGTGAAGATAACTTTTCATGTAGTATTTATTGACTGAAGCCATGGCATCAGGTTAAGAAGTAAGATAGTGTAAAAACAAGGTTTAATTGAGTAGTCTTGAAGACTGCATTAAAATTGCGTTATGTTCAGTCCTTAAAATCTTTGGTAAGCTGTTGGTCTACAATGGTTGCTATTCCTATAATATATGTATGTCCAACCTTTCTGATCCCAACAACCAGCCATCAAACCTTCAAATGCCCAAGGGCCACAGGACAGACCTCACATATTATGGACAGCTGAGAGAAGAAGAGAGATCAAACTGTGGTTCACAAAAGATGACAACAGCTCCCAAGGGGTCCCACTGCTCCACAGACCTGGGGATGGCCAGTCTTAACACAGCCTACTGATTTGCTTCCCCAAACCCAGACATTTAGATTACCTAGAAGTTTCCATGCCAGCTCAGCTTCCCTGTTAATCAGATGGCACAACCTGCCATATAACTTGAACTTCTGAAGCTCCACACATAGCTTAAGACCCACCTTTGCCATCTTGTTAGGCTTACCAGCAAGCATAACTTTGAGCAACCACAGACCTTGTTAAAGTCGACTGATGTGCTTGGCTCTGTTCTGTAAGGTTAAATGGGAAACAAATAAAAAAACCCCACCAAGACACACACAAGAAAAAAAATGGCTGAAAAACCAAAATCGCTGCCCAAGGGCCTGGGTCACCTGACATGAGGTAATGAAGAATACAAGAAGTCTACTGTTGCAAAATGTTACTTTTTCCATGTTTTGGAGGTAGACAGTCAAAATAAAGAAAAAACTTCTGGCAATGTCTACATTTCAGCTACTTGTGTTTCCTTTCTTTGGGGATCTCTGAACAGTGAATCCAACAGCATTCCTAATGAAAAATACAAGAAGAAAATCAAGACTAAAAAAGTAAACCGCTTGTTCACCTCTTTAGTCTAGCATATTTTCCACTTCTTCTCTTATAGAAATAATAAAAACCTGTTACACATTCTCCTGGTAAGCAGATGTTCATCTCAGACTATCAACCCCTCCCACCAGCTTGCTTTTGTCTGCTTAAAATTACTTCAGTGTTCCTCCGAAAGGCCATGAGTCACTGAAATTACATGAGTGTTATATTTAGGGCATACATACATGTGACCACTTGGAGTAACATCTAAAAAAGTTTCCTTCCTAGGTGAGTCTCAAAACAAAAGATGAAATGCCTCTTCTACTATTTGTATAGAATCATCAGACTGAAGAGAGATCTATATGCAAAGAGTAATATTTTTAAAAAATTGCTTTAAAATTTGGATCAGTCATTAACTAACACAATCAGAATTATTGACTCTCTTCTAAGTCAATCCTACAGACTACAGGAAGAAAGAAGAGCTACATCCATATGAAAAGGAAGTGTTTCAAGCTTTTATGAAGTATGATTTTATCAGTTAATATTTTCAATTCTAGGACTTTCTGTGCTGTTTGAATAAAAACACTTTTTTAAAAAAATCATATTTTAAATACTTTTACATGAAAATTAGAGAAACGTCTCAGAAGAAGAGTCAGAGTAACAGCTTGACAATAGACATCACAGCAGATCTCATTTTTGCATGCATTCTTACTTCAGCCCCTGTCAGACAGTGAAAAAAGATATATTATCTGAAGCTCTTATACCTCACATTTGTTGCATGTAGCTATTATTTTACTTGGCTTTGATGTTTCACACAACTTTCTGAAGCAAAGAATCTGCTATGACAACATGACATTTCCCATATGTTCCCTTAGCTGTATGAATGAGAAAACCTTGGCTAACCCTAATTAGCATTGGCACTGTTGTTTGTAATCCTTGCACTGCTTTTTATACAACATTGTTTTAGTAACTTAGAGTACATGAAAGGTTCTGCTTATTGCACAGAAGACCAAGAGAACCATGTTACGGAGGATATTTGACTTTAAATTGTTGGGGAGAAATGGTGGCCAAGTCCCACATCTTGGCTAACTTTCCAGATTGTAACTAGGTGGAGGTTATGGCAGGATATGGTCTGGGTGCAGACAGATGGGGATTGCCTCCAGGTGAATTTCTCAATTCCACCTGCTTAGCTATATGAGCTGAAGGAATTTTTTAAGAAACCTGGTCAGTCAACAGATGGAGGAAAAAAGACTTACCTGAATTGGTTCACATTGTGCCTCCAGTTATAGAATCTTCTTTTCTCTTTTGGCTAAAAAGTCATTGCCAGTGACTAAAATGAACTTAGTCTCCTACAAATCAAATGCAATTAGTCCTAGCTTTTTGAGGTATTGCCTCTCCTGGTGAATAGGCAAAGACCTAATCTCTGCATGTAATCTAGCATTCCAGAGATTTTGTCTGACATGTCAATAATCCTCTTTATAGTTAGCTGGAGGAGAGTGTTGTACAGAGTGCTGCTTGTCACCCCGCATGCCTTCAGCTCCATATGATTCAGGATCTGGCATGATTTCAAAATGCAAATCCCTGCTTTGGTTACTTGGAGAAATGATACACCAGAAGGGTCATGCTGCCTTCCAGAGGGACCTGGACAGGCTGGAGAAATGAGCAGACAGAACCTCATGAAGTCTTACAAGGGGAAGAGCAAAGTCCTATACCTGGGGAGGAACAACCCCAGGTACTAGCATATGCTGGGGGCAGGATGTACTTTCCTTCTTTGCAGCAAGGAAACGTTGCTGGATCAAGCTCAACTCATCCACCATGATACTGGGTCCTTCACTGCATGGTTGCTTTCTAGCCAGCTATGCTTAAGGCTGCCCTGGAGCCTGGACTTAGTCCTCCCTAGGAGAAGGACTTGGCATTTCCCTGTATAGAACTTCATGATGTTTCTGCTGGCCCATTTATCCAACTTCTTGATGTACCTTTGAATGGCAGCACATTCTGGTGTATTAACCAGACACATTACCTTCTGATAACACTTCTTTTTCCTTTTTTACTCTTCAACTTATTTTTGTTTTGTTTTTTGAAAAAGAATCACTCTCTCCTGCTTTAAGGGTCTTCAAATCCAGTTATAACATCCATGTTCTGGCATACACTTTCTTTTTCATATTGTTTTAAACCAGGGATAAGATATGAACTACTTCCAAATATGTTAAGGTTTGCAATTCTCAGAGATCCTGGACAAGTACTGAGTAACTAAGCCTATTATTGCACATGTTGAGTTCAAGCCAAGTGCTTTATCATTAAAATTCAGAACTGCTCCAGTAATACAAAAACAAACCCACAAAATATATAGAGAAAAAGATAAAAGGAGAAAAGCAATAGCAAGAGCTCTTGATGGAATCTTTTTTTCCTTCTCTTTTCTCTATTTTTCAAATTTAACTTTAAAAATAGCAAATGACTGAACTGTT